CAGGCCTCTCTGTGGCTGCCCTGGGAGGGGAGCTCCCATGCCCTGCCTTGAGCCCCATGGTGAAGGAGCCCTCAGTGCCCACGGCCCCAGGAGCCCAGCCAGCTGGACACCGAGGGTGGGCGGAGTATTTCCCAGTGCCCTGCGCACTGCCCTTCATTGATCTCATGTGGTAGTCAGTCTCCAAAAAGGGCCCCTGGGATCCACCACGCCTCCCAGTAGTCACGCCCTCTGTGTTCCCCTCCCACACTGGACCCATGCTGGCCCCATGTCACTAGTCGAACGTAATGGAAATGGCAGCGTGACTCCCAGGGCTGGACTACAAGAAGCTTTGCCGCTTCTGCCTTCTCTCTTGGGATGCTTGTGCTTGGGACTCAGCTGCCCTAATTGTGAGAAGACTGAGTGGTGTGGAGAAGCCCTAAGTAGTACCCCCTCCATGGGCAGTCCCGGCCGCACCAGTGTCACCTGCCTGCCATGTGAGTGAAGAAGCACCTTGGGCCTCCATCCAAGTCCAGGTGTCTCAGGTTGCAGCCCAGCCACCATCTGACCACAGACCCATGAGAGACAGCACGCAAGAGTCCCACTGAGCCCACTCAGCTCACAGAACCACGAGAAATAGTGACAAACTGTTGCTGGAAGCCACTGAGTTTGGGGCTCGTTTGTTGCACAGCTGACTGGGACGCAGCGTGCGGCCAGATGACCTAAGTGTGTGACTCCAGCCGCAGAGATAGGCTGGGGTTTCCCCGTGTGGGTTCTGACTGTAACTCGGGCTGTTCATGCCAAGTTCTCTGGTTTGCACAGGGCGGGTGGGAGGGCAGCAGCGGTTGGCGTGGACAAGGGTGTGACCCATTGTGGTCTAACTCAAGAGGCTCCAGAGGCCGACAGGCCCCGAAGTGACAAAGAGCAGATGGATGTTAAGGGCTTGCCTAATGTTAGGAGAACAAGACAGCTCTCGGAGGGGGAGGCTGGCCGCACGGAGGTCCTCAGCACTATTGCATTAAATAGACCGGATCTCCTGCACCATGAGGAGCATACAGGCCAATCCATGCTCTGTATGGATTGTTACGAGGGACCAGGGAAGATAGGGGCTGACCCCGATCCCTGCCCTAGGGACTAGCAGGCTGAGTGAGGGGAGATGGGGTTTCTTCCAGCCTGATGGGTAAAGAACGTAGTTTCATCCTCAGGAAGGCCTAGTCCTACCACAGGGACTCAAGATCACGGAGAATGGCTGTGTCTCTCTCTCCCCTTTTGTATGTTCTTCATATGACATCATCCAGAGAGCAAGGGGCTGGGCGGGCAGGCTCCCTGGTCCTGAGACATCGTCCCAGAAGCCTTCAGTGCAGGCCAGGTCGGGCTTCCCGGTGCGACTGCTACCTCTCCCTGTCACTCAAGTGCCTGGGACATGGCGGGGTCCCCCAGAGAGTACACAGGCCATGGCCCCTGGCCTCGGGAGCACGCGTGGTTGACACAGCAGTGGCTGACAGAACCCACGCGGTCATGCTGCCCCAAACACCAGCAGAGACAGCAGAATTAAACAGAGCTGCCAGTGTTGCTCAGTGAGATGAAGAGTAGGTGGGTTTGTTTAAATTATTCCCATTACAGTCAGTTAACCTTTATGTTCCCTAAATGAAAATTGTATAAACCTGAAATTTTCGTTGATCAGGTTGCCTAGGAACAGGCAGCAGGTTTTCATAAGACAATGCAATAGATTGTCACCGATAGGGCTATTAGGAAGTGAGCTGGTTAGCGGTATTATTCCGCATCCTGTAGGTAATTATCTGTCTGCCTCGGTAGAGTACACCCATCATCCCCAGCTTGGGCAGGCTCTGCACATGAGGTTTCTCAGCCTGTTCCTGAGTCCTGGGAGTGGATCTGGGGTCCAGGAGCAAGTGGTCACCACTGGATTTAGGGGAGAAAGCTGACACACCCAATCTGATTCATTTCTTTCTCTTTCTCTCCTTCCTTCTTTCTTTTCTTTCTCTTTTTATTAGCATTTTTTTTTTTTTTTTTTTTGAGAATTTACTCCCAGGCCATAAGTCTTTGTTTCTTTAGTATCTTCTCAGATACCTTGTTTTCTGTGCAACCTCCTCTCTGGTTTAGGAACAGTCGCTCTTTTTCAGTAAGATGATCTCAGTGTGGCAGGTCTGAGAGCTCATGTATGGGTTAATCCACCCAAGAGCTCTGTTAAGTTCTGCGCTGTATCTTGGGAGCTTTGTTCATCTGGATGTGCTCAATGACCAGAGTCTGCATCTAAACCCTTAAACTCTGCATTATTTTCTGCATTTTTAATCGCGCAGCAAAAATTCAGTGCTCTTTCTGGGCCACTGACCCTGTGCCCAGCCCCTCTCTTTGGCCTGGGCACATCTACCGACTCCACCATTGTAAGGACAGAATGGTACATGTTGCTTCTGTAAAGCGACATCCTTTGGTTGCTTGGTGGCTTTATGAATATGCATATCTTTGATGGCCTGACAGTTCCACGAGTGTTCTTAAAATGACCATGAAGATTTAAAACTCTTGATTTGCATGATTTTGTGGGTCTTCTGGGTCAAGTGAATAGCGAACTATTTTCAGAGGTCCCCTCAGGCCCCTTACAGGAAGAAGTGAACTTATTTCTCTTTAATCACTTTCCCCAACCTCCCACTTTCAACGGGAGTAATACTCCGAGCAGAAAATTTGAGAAACAGTAACAAAACGCACAATGGAAATTAAAGAACAAAGTCACTCTAAGACAACTTGTTTATTTTCCACACAATCACTGTAATTTGCTTTTTCCCTCACAGTTAGGGTGACCAACCCTCCTGTTGGGCCCCGGACAGAGGATTTCCCAGTACCAGTGCAAGTCATTATCAGCATGCTTTTGCATATCTGTGTAGCTTTCAGTGGGCTTGGATGGACCAAACTCAGCCCAACCAACTCCCCATAAATGTTGGACATTTACAGTATTTCCCTTTTTTAAAGATAATTTATGCTGATGGTGGAGAGCCTCATCCGTAAGCCCTTGCAGGTTAAATTCCTACAAGTAGGATTTATTAGGTCAAAGGATCTGTGTACATGTATGGCTTTTGATTTTTTTATCAGGTTGTCCTCCAGAAAAATATGTGCCCATTTCTGCCCCTCCTGCCCATACTCTTGGGGACTCGATATCAAATAACCCTTTCATCGCGGCCAATCTGACAGGCGGAAGTTATGTCATACTTTGGGATGCGGGCTTCCTTATTAGCCGTCGGTGAATTCCGCTTCTGTCCTTTCCCCATTCCTCTTGTTGGGCTGCTCTTCTCTTTCCTTTTAATCCATAAAAACTCTCTGTCGCAATCGTGTCAGTCGCGAATGTCGAAGCATTTGGTCCATTTTTTTAAAAAAGCATTTGTGGTTATCGTTCTGTAAAGAACAAGAGTACTACCTGTTACCCTGGTGTCTTTGAAGAAAGGGGAGTTAATATTTGAGGTAATTAAAGTTTTCCCCTATCCTTAAGCACTAAAATTTTTTTTTCAATAAAGCATTTGGGATGAGAATATCTGCAAACTGGACAATCTGTGTAGGTCCCTTTAAAACAAAGCATACTGCACACAGTTTAACTTTTTCTTTGTGTCTCAGACATGCTGTGAACAATGGTCATTTTCTGTGTGATAGTGATACCCTCAGCAGCTGTTGAGCTACATGGAGTTTTGGCTCCTATACCAGATGGCCCCAGACTGCCTTCTAAATAAGATACCCAATTCTTGTCTTGCCACATCACTCCCAGGCTGTTCTGCAGGTACTTTTGCGGCTGCATGTACCCCTGCCTCATCATACGGCATCCCACCTTCATTGGCATTGGGACTGATTACTGGCTAGCAGTGCTTGTGAAGTTTATCTGTAAATAAAAGCAAGTGAGCACTGAGCAGGGGCCTAAGGGACGTTAGTAACAACATTGTAAGAACTTCAGCAGGCAACAGTTTTACTTAATTCCTGGGGTGTGCATTATACAGGGGCTGGCACAAATAACGCCCATTTTTTATTCCAAAATCATAAGCATGTAATTACATAACATAACAATATCACACTCAAGCACACCATATGACATTTTAGGTGAAGTGTTCAAATTAAAACTATAAATTATTACATCCATAGTATGACCCTACCAACCACACTCAACAGGTGTAAACTTCTGCCGGAACCTGTATATTGTTTATATAGATATTGATATATATATATATATATGTTGTCAAGTAAGCGACTTCTGGATGTGTGAGCAAAACAGGATTCTGAGATTTTGACAGAAGGGGAACAGAAAGAAATGATTATCGACCTCTTAAAGATGTAGGTGCAAAATGAGAAACCTGTAATCGAGATGAACAGAATCAGTGTGCAATCTTATTACTTCCCCAGGAGTGTGCTGGGCCAGGTTTTACAGAGATGGTGGCCTAGAAATTCTTAAAATCTGGCTTCCAGGCCTGCCCCTGTTAGGATACGGTTTACAGCCCTTCACCTAAGTCTTCTGATGCTCAGTTTTCTTATCTGTGAAATGGAGCTAAGACTAACTCGCCTCTCTTTAATTAGAGGTTGAATCAGATGGTACTGCCAGTGTGAGGAGTCCCTGACGTGGAGCAATGTGAGAGGAATTTGTAAACATGAAAAGGGCTAGCCAGGCACGCGGGGTGGTTACTATTGCTATTGTTATTACTATTCACAATCACGCAAACAGCACGCCTGCCTCCTTACCTCTCTCCTGCCTTCCGCACAGTCCAAGCTCCCAACCCACACATGTGTATCTTAAGCTTATGTCCTTGCTGCCCTTCCAAACCCAATTTCACCCGTGTAGGTTTTTCCGAAGCAGGATTTGCACAAGTGGTGTGTTTTCTTAAATATTTATTTTGCAGCCCATTTACCCAGCATGGCTATTTTTACAGTGAGTAAGGAGCAAAGCTAAAAATAACCCAGCTCGTAACAGGATCAGTTCTGCATTTGACATTTACGTGGAATTCATTTGCATCTCATTTGTTCACTTTTCTGTTTAACAGGTAGAATGTAAGAAAGCTCAGCCGAAAGAAGTCATGTTCCCACCTGGGACAAGAGGCCGGGCCCGGGGACTGCCGTATACCATGGACGCGTTCATGCTTGGCATGGGGATGCTGGGTGAGTCTGGATGGGACCTGGCGACCCCGTGGGGTCACCGCAGGCTGGGGGCTTTGAAGTCCGTTCACCCAACTGTGTTATCTACCATCTGGGCAGGCTGCTTGACCTCTCAGCCTCCGTTTCCAATCTGTAGATAAGAATAATAACCCCTTTGCAAGGCAATTGTGAGCATTCAATGAAAGAGAGAAAGAGATGGATACATAGGTGATCATCTTGTCCTGTGCCTGGCTTATAGGAGGTACTGGATATCATTTTCTTCCCTTCCACCCCCTCCTTCAAAAAGAGGAAAAGTCGCTCCCTTTGCCTGAGCCCTCTCTCCTGACTGGGAGTTTTTAAAGACCTAAGGACCCCTGGCTGGTTGAGCCTGTGCGGGCTGGGGCTACATCTTCTGCAACTTGAGAGAGGAGAGGAAGTGGTGAGGGCTGGCGATAATCCTGTCTATTTAAATGATTAACATTTTTCTCTTGGGATATCAAAATTTGCATTTAAATAGATGTTTTAAATAGCCTGTTTTACTCTTTATTTGAAAAAAAAAAAAGGTGATGAAAGACAAAGTGTGTTTGTCCTGACTAAAAATGATCTCTCCTGGCTTTTAGAAAAATTGAGTTGCATATTATGCCCCTTCCTAACTAAAGGTATCTCTGTCCGTCCTGTGTAGATAATTGAAAATCTTGCTGCTTAAATGGCATGAAAGATGGAGAAAGCAGTGGAGAAGCGTAATGGTGTGGGTCGCAACAATAATTAGAAATTTCAAGGCAAGAGAACGGTATTTTAGTGCAAGTTATTGTGTGTCGGGAAAATACTAATTAAATGGGATAAATGGTAGTTAATGGTAAAATCCCATTCAGGCACATGATCTGTCTCATTTTAATGGGTTTTCATTTGGTTTGGCTGAGAGTCTTTCTTCCACATTCTTTGATAAGCTCTTTATGTTTTTTCAGATTTGCTGCTGTTCAAATCATTCCTGGCTTAGTTTTAAATTTATAAAACTTTCCTTGGTTTTGTAAATTCTTGAAAAGAATTTTTCCGAGGCAATAACAAGGACAGGTAAAGTTACTTTGAGGAATTTTAAATGGAGAGAGATGCCATGAGAGGGTGGAACATGGCTGAGATGGTAATTCTTCTCAAATTAGTGTTTTGGGTTTAACAGTTTCAAAGAAAAATCCTGTCGTAACTCCTTAAAAATTGGGCAAATGATTCTAAAACTTATCTGGAAGAAGAAACACTAAGAATAAGTCAGAAAATGTTTTAAAAGAAGAAATGAGAAAAGACTGGTTTGACTGGATGTCAGAACATAGCACAAAACTACAGTAATTAAAATGGTGTGGTATAGAGGAATGAATTTGTTAATGGAAAATTTTAAAGAACCAGAACTAAATAGATGTCTGTGTAAGAGTGTACATGTTATAAGATTATTTTTAGAAATTAGTGAGAATTACTTCCTGCTTGACTATAAGACACTTGTTTGGTTGTTATTTTTAAAAAATAGTTTTCATTTGGTCTTTACCCTATCATATATACTAAAAGAAACTGAATGGATTGAGTTTTTAAAAAACCTTAATGAGTTGAACCCGTTATTACCAGCTGGATTTTGGAGTCTGTATAAAGGCCTTAGGGCGTAAAATGGGAGACTTTAGTCGGATCCAGTTCTTCAGAAACTGCCCCCACCTTTCTGAGTCTAGCTTCATGCCCTTTACCTGCACGAAGAATAAACTAGGGTTTCTCCAGAGAGAAGCACAGGTGGGGGTGAAGCCAGCTTACTCTTGCCAGTGCCAAGGAGCAAAGGAACCGCAGCTGTGTTCAGCTATATGTCCAGCGCAGACTCTCCACGGACACCCAGGCTCAACCCCTGAACAGAGGGCACCCAGTGGTCTCATCGTGGGAGCCACAGCAGGAGGGTCTTGTTGAATGTCTTGGGTATTTGTGGACCTACTGTGTGTCCAGGCCTGGACTAGCACTGGGAGACAGATGTGGTCCCTGCCCTTCTGGAGCTTGTGGCCTAGTGAGAGATGATATTTAACAGCCAGTCATGCAGATAAATGATTTATCATAAGTAGAGAAGGCTACAGGGTGCTTTCAGAGCATATAAAGAGGAATAGAAACTAGCCTGAGGAATCAGGGAACACCTCCATGTGGCGGTGACATTGTAGCTGCAACGAGAAGAATGAGGGAGCCAAGGGCCACCCAGGCAGAAGGAGCAGCCTTGGATCGCAAGGGTCCTAGTGTGAAACCCTGAGGGCCAACTGGCCTGGCTGAGTGCAGCAGGTCCCGGCAGGAGGGAGGAGTGACCGAGTGGTTCTGGGATTGTGTTTGGCCACGGCAGGTGATGGACAGGCCCAACCCTGTGCTTCCCCGGACACGCCTCGGTGGGTCCTGCTCCAGGAGGGACGGGTATGTGATAAATGCCAGGTGCTTCCTCAGTTGCCCCAACTCTTTCCCCCTCTTCTCGAGCCTCAGGTTAATTGTTAGTTTAAAATGTGGCTAAGAGTCTATTAGTCCTTGAGCTATAACCACCCACCCCCCCAGCCTACCCCCATCTCCCTCACCCCTGCTGCTTAAGGTTTTTGCCCCCATGGAGACTGCCACAGGCAGAGGCTCCCAACTCAGCCACCCAGCGTCACAGGTGCGTTTCCCTCCCCCCACCCCCAACCAAGCAGAGAGCCCTTTGGGTAGAATTGATGGCATCAACCCAGCCTCCACCAAGGAGGACTTTGTGGGTCGGGGGGAAAGCTCAGGACTTTTAGAATCAGATCTGGACTCCTCACCCCATCAGCTGTGTGACTTGGAACAAGTGGCGGCCTCTCTGGCCTTCACTTACCCCACCCACAGACAGGGCTGTGGGAACCCTCATGTCGTGGGGTTGTTGAGCATAAATGAAACTCACATTGCACCCAGCCAATGCTGTATTTCATCAGATCTGAGCTGCCATGGCTGGCAAACCATTCAGAAGAAAAAATATGCTGTTAATTAAACTGCACTGATGCTTTCTTACCACACCAGCAGTGAGATAGAGCCTACTTTCAAGAGATATTAAAATGTGAAAACACTGTGTCTTCAGGTGAACAAAATACATACAGTAGTACGTACTCAAACTAGGAGCTGTTGGTACTAGGGGTTCTGGGCAAGTTATCTCCTGAGTAGGTGCCCAGTACCCTTCCCCTTGGGTCCCTTTCCGCCTTTGGCCAAGAACAAAGCCAGACCCACAGGTGTGATTTGTGCTTTGGCACCTGCAGCCTCCTCTTCAGTTTGGACCCCTGGACCTCCAGCTCAAGGAGTTGGATTATCTGCGTTTTTACCTCCGAAAAAAAGTCCATGTGCTGCACTCCAGACCTCAGTGGCCCCCGGGCCTCCTGAGTTCCCCAGCGACTCTGGTGACATCATCTAGGTACCTGGTGAGAGGGCAAATGTGCCCCCAGCCAGGAACCAGCTCAGCCCAAGGTCTGGGCAGAAGGGGTGAATCAGGCACGGGGCACACACTTCCAGTCTCACAGGCTGGTTGGCCTGTTGCCTCCCTGGCCAGGCTGGAGTCTCCACTCAGGCCTCTCTGGCTCCCCTGCCAGAAACGCCCAGAGCTGCCCTTCATTTCACCCACTGGCACAGCTTGGCATCCTGGGCTGCTGGGGGCGGGGGGTGACGTGCACTGTGCTGGGACCGACGCCCTTGCTTCTCCCCTCTGAAGTGGTGGCATTGGGAAGAGGCTGGCCCTTTGGAGGATGGCCCGGCACGTCCCCATCCGCCCCCTGGGTCACACCCTTCCCTAGTGCACTGGGCCTGCCCCTCAGTCCCAGAATCATTAGCTTTGCCACCAACAACCTCTGACTAATGACCTCGACTCACGCAGAACATTTTAAAAAATTTATTAATGAACAGAATGAGATGAAGTTTCAGTGATTTAAACTTTTTTATTGTTGTTGAAAGAACAGAAAAAGCACTTCTAGGGCTTTTTAGGAGTGAGACTATAAATCATTAAAGTTTTTAAATCCATTCACTCAACAAATATTTATTGAGTGCCTGCTAAGTGCCGCGTACTATTCTAGAGGCTTAGAATGCTGCAGAGAATGAAGCCTCTCATCTCAGGGAGCTGACATTCTAAGGAGACTGGTCTGTAAATGACCAGGAAACTGCGGAACTAATTTTTAAATATCCTTTAAGATTTCTCCATGCTTGGAAGTTCTCATCCAAGGGAAGCTGATGAGCTATGTATAGTTGCACAGCTATTCTTTCTCAACCTCTCTTGGTATGGCTGCAGACGTCCTTGGGGGTGGGGGAGTGGGGGTAGATCTAGAGTTATTTTGGTTTAGCTTTCAGCCTATAATCAGCCCGATGGGAATTCCTTAAAAAGAACTCAGGAGAAAAGAGGAGGGGTCAGGTCTCCCTGTCTTTGAGCTAGACAAAGTGAAGATCAACTGAAACCCTCAGAAAAGGTCTTTGTGCGGCCCTCAGACTTTGTTCCGCTGCCTTGCAGCAGCAAAGCGGTGCCCACAGTTATCCAGCTCAATGCACTAGACTCCCTTTGGTTTTTCATAATGAAAGTGGACTTAATAAAAGCAAACATTATTATTGTTGATATATTTGATTCCTCCTGGCCTTCTCCACCACATAATCCTGCTGCCTTTCACTCTCTTGACCCCACTGGGCAGACGCTATTTAACAGGTTTGATACCAGTGCTGGCAAAATACCTCGTTGCTGAGGCCTTGAAAAGCTTCACCCTGCTGGCCCAGAAGCAGAGACACACTTGACCAGCTGAAGAAAGCCAGAGGCACTCTGATCCACACTCGTACTGGGAAGCCCCTCGGAAATCCTGACCCAGTGTTGCCTGACATTAAGCCTCTCTGAAGTGAAAGTCCCTCCTCTCCTCGCCGCCGCCCGCCCGCCCCCCCCCCCCCAAATCATTGTCAAGAAGGAAGGAGGAGCTGTGATCTGCTGGCATTCACTAACAGACTTTGGACATGGGCTGGCACTTACAGCCGCGTGACTAGACTCATTTGTGATTTCAACTGGGATTTGTCTGTCCCAAAAATAACTGTTGAGGTCATTCCCAAGGAGGTCTCCTTTTGTTCAGCTCTTTCCTGGTAAACAGAGGAAACCCAAAATTCGGCCCTTCGTTTCATTCTTAGAGCAACACAATGCCCTCGAACTCTGTGCAGTGGTAGGAAGGTCCTGGATCTGCGATGATAGCCACCCGCGATGGCAGCCATAGCTACATGGAGCTGTTGAGCATTGAAGGTGTGGCTCGTGCATCTAAAGAACTGAAGTTTTTGTTTTATATAATTTAAATTAAATTCAATGTGAATTGGACAGCACAGACCTGGAGAAACCCCATAATTCCGGATGATTCTGGGGCCGGGCATGTTTGCAGACATTCTGCCGAGGAACAGGTTTTGGCATGTGGCGGCGTGTTTACGTGCAGACCTCATAGCCAGCGCAGTGCCCCGGGGCAGTGCTCTGCACCCCCCACAGCAGACGTGGCACTCCCGCAGTTCTGTTGTCTCCCCTGCCTTTCAAGTCCAGGGCCCAGTAGAGTCTCATAGCCCAGGAGAGTATGAGTCACGTGCCCATCCGGGATGCAGACACCCTCTGAGTGGAGCAGAGGCCTGGAACCACGCTTCTGAGAGCTCTGCCAGGATCCCCCCCAAGGGGGCCGTTACACGAGCTGACGGGCAAATTCAAATCCTGTTGTCGATTTCTGATCCGTGCCCCCTCTACAGTGCAAAGCCAATCTGTAGGAAAGGTGGCCATCCAGGCTGAAGGCTTGGTTTTTTCCTTTACTGACAAGAGATAATTACTATGGGATTGATCAGGCGTCCAGAGTGCTGGAGCAAATAAATTGTGCAGCAGCCAGTACGGAAGGGGCCCAGCTGCTAATGGAAGTGGTGGCTGGGTCATCTCACCGTAATGTGGCCCGATGGAGCCTCCGCGTGGGCCTGCCGTAATGTGCTATTGATATGCAGCCAGCCAATTTTCCCGTGTGGCTGGGGCCGGGAGCCGCTTGAGCAGAGCTGGGCTGCACAGCAGTAAATGAAGAGGAAAATTGAAGTAATGTTGTATTATAAATTTATGATTTCATCTGCCTGACCCAGAGGATGTTCGGTGATGGGGGGTAGAGATAAGATCCCCCACTCTGACTGCAGCCGAAGTCTCACCATTGTTGTTCAGGAGACAATATTGACGTCTCCGGGAAGATGGTGGGGAGGCCCCAAAATGGACCATGCTTTTCCTCCTTCTTGCTGAAGACTTTTGAGTGTGCCAGGAAGAAAGCAGATATGATGGAGGCCCGAAGCAGGAAGGGACTGAGCGGTCCACCGCCTGCCACCCCCGCCCACCCAAGAGAGTCGTGGAGGTGACACGTGGGCTTATACTTTTTGCTGTCAGATTAGCACTAAAATATTTAAGACCCCACCCCCCCAGCGCTGAAGTTAGAAGCCAGGGAGTCATTTTTCATGAGGAAAAGCCCCAGGCAGCAGTGATTTGGCTGCTTGCATATAATCCGTTTATCAATATTGTTGAAATAATGGCATAAGAAATCTAGTGCTGAAAGTTCTGATTTGATCGCAGGTGATTAATTTAGAGGAGAAATGAGCTGGCCAGCCATGAAATAAATTCCAAGGAAGCAGCCAGTGTGCGTGTATCCACATAAGGCATCCTAGCCCTGGCCCCGCCCCTCTGTCCATCCTCTCTCCCCACCAGGTGCCAGAGCTCCACGTCTCGCATGGGTCCTGCTCCTCAGCAGTCGGTGCAGAGCGGCCAGGCCGTCCTGTCTCGTCTGGGCAGCTTTCTGCCAAAAAGACACTTAGAGTTGGGAAATAAACACACAGGGAAGGAGCAGGTGGCAAGACCCTTTTGAGGTAGAAACAGGTCAGCGGGGCAGTGAGTTGTGACTGCAGAATTGGAAAGGATCTGCTGCAGCACAGGAAAGGAGTTGGGGCTGGTGTCAGCTGAGAATGGGGGCCCGTCGTCGCTCTAAGGGACCTGCAAAGCTCTCTACAGAAGGCACAGCTCAAGCTCCCAGAGAGAAGGGAAGACCTTCCCCTTCCCCCCTCCCCAAGGGCATGGTCCTGGGCCTGAGGCAGGACTGGAACCCAGGTGTCCAGCTGTCCAGCCCAGCGAGCTCCTGTTCTGGTGCTGACAAAGCAGAAGCTATGACACCAACAGGCACAGGGCAGTGAGGGAGGGTGAGGCCTATATCTGGACCTTTGAGGCTTAAAAAGTCTATGAACAGGCAGCAGGAAGACCAGCAAATTTAACTCCTGGCACCTGAGTGCACACGAGACGGAATTTAGTCAGCGGTCCTTTTCCTTTAGCCCTCACCTGCAGGGTCAGAAAAGGCTTGTAACATGGGAGAGTCTACCAGGGAGGTGGACGATGAGACCCCAGAGACTATGTTTAGGGACGTTTAAGGAGTTATTTAGAACTGCAGGAGCATGTGTGGGCAGCGGCCACCCTCATGGCTGGAGGGCGTGGTAACTGTCATAAACCCAGAGCAGCTTTCTGCCAGTTTTGGTGGTAAGCCACAGGGTCAACCCTGGCTCCTGGAGGCAACAAGGGAGATTATTGAAGGGGCCGGGGCAGCACGCAGAACAGCCTGGGGGACGAGCAGGGACAGGAGCTCTGTGGTCAGAGCCACAGCCACAGCCACAAGGAAGGGACACCCCGGAGTGACCAGGTCAGGGGCTACTGCTGCCACCACTGGATGCAATACTGTGCTTCTCACACGTTCCCTTGGCCAAGCCCCGCGTCCCCAGCCTGCCTGGCTCAGAGAGCAGGAGGAAGGTCTTTTCTGCTTGATGATGGGAGGCAGGCTTCTCTCCAAGAGCCACCAAGGCATGTCAAGGTGTTGGGCAGTGTCAAAGCAACTGTCTCAGAGGTCAAAGCCAGAGTCAGGCTGGTGGAGGTAGCAGGGTGGGTGGTAGGGTGGCTGGTGGCATTTGGAGAGCGTGACTGTACCACAAGTCCCATGTGGAAGGAGACCACATAAGCCTGTCAGGGTGGGCACGGGGGCAGCCATTGGCCGCCTATGGGCGGTGGACATTCGGCCCAAGAAGGCTACGCCAGCCTTCTTTGTAGCCTGAATCAAGAGGTAGGGACATGAAGAGTGAAGTGTCTTGAGGGGGCAGGAGGCAGGGTTGAGCTGAAGTGGCATCTCGCTGGCAGTTTCACAGTAAATCAGAGAAGGCCACACTGCCCCCAGGATTTCCTCTGCACCCCATGCCCGCCCAGCAGCAGTTTCCACAGCACCCCTCAGTTAACCGATCACCCCTGGGTTACCTGCTGAGGCAAGTGTCTGGAAAATATATAGTTGCTGTGAAACGCCTGTCAAGACATGTGGCACAAGGCCCGTGGGCTTGGGTCATGCTTTGTGGTGCACACTTTTAACACAACCAGCCCCTCAGCACTCTCCCAGGAATATTCTGGTACCCTGTGGAGTGTCCAAGCTTGGGCGTGGGCCCTGGGCCTCCCCTCCTCTGGGCCATGGCTCGTTAGGCCTGGTGTTTTTCCCGAGGCTCAGGGTCAGCCCTGAGTTTCGCCCTGCTCTGGCAGCGGCTGGCGCTGCTGGCCGCTGCCTTGGGAGAAGGCATTACGAGGACTTTAATCTCCCACTGTCAATAGCTTTAAGGTAAAGTACATTCAGGGTAAGCTCTCCAAATGTCAGAGCCGGGCACTGGCCCTGTGTTTGGTGCTAATACGTGGCATTTACTCTGCAGGTCAGGCAAGTGTGTGGGCTTTGAGGGTCTTTCTGCCCAAATACGGGTTAATTATCAGCAGGTTGACAGCAACTTCCCCAGCCTCAGGAGAGAGGTGACTCAGGCCCAGGGTAAAGACCGTCACAGGAGACAGATCATTTTGTAGAAGAAAAAAACTCAGGCTGTTTCTCTCCCTGCACCCTGCCCCCTCATAGGGTTCCCCTGGCCCCATACCTGAGGCGGCTCTACTAACAGGACCGTGCTCTTTCTTTGTTCAAGGCTACCCCAACTTCGTGGCAACCTATGGCCGTGGCTACCCCGGATTTGCTCCTAGCTATGGCTATCAGTTCCCAGGTGAGTGTCTTTGTCTCTGGGGGCTTTGGAAACACGGGATGTGGGCTGCATTTGGTGGGGGAGGGGGACCCCTAAAGAGAACACAGCTCGTACATACATCCATTCAAGAAGCAACTATAGGTGCTAAATTTCAGACCCTCCGCTCCAGGCCAGGGCCCAGCTCTGTCTGTGATTAACTGAAGCATCTCACTGGCCTGAGTGGCAGCTTTTGGGGGAGAGGGAAGGAGCTGAGGCAGTCACCTCGCCCTGCTGGTCCTCCTTTCTCTGAAGCCTGTTGGGTGTTCTCTCGCTGGGGACTGAGCGCCCAGCCCAGTGCTTTCTTTCAGCCCCTTTCTCACCCCACCTGCTGTCTCCTGTCCCCTGCCCGCCCCTCCTCCCCTCCTCCAGCTCCACCCTGTGCCTTTGGTGCCCATCTGCTGTGCGTTGGGTGTGCTGTGGGCTGCGGGTTTGCTGTCTGCCTTGGGTGGGGGTGTCAGATTCTCCCTCCCCTCTGTGTGGGCATCAGACAGCACCTCAAGGCGGAGGGCCGGGCAGGAGTGACCTCGCAGGGATGAGGGGAGGCGTGCTAACGGGAGGGAGCGTTTTCTGGGGCTTCACTTTTCCCCAGCCTGGCCCTGACCTGGAGTACAGACGAGGACATCTTAAGGTGCTTGGGGGAGTCTGTGCAGAGGACGGCCAGGGTTTCTACGGGAGGTGTTAGGAGCGGAGTTCCGTCCTCGGGTTCTGTGCTGGGGCGGGTGGGGGGAGGCTCCACAGGGAGCTGGGCTTCAGAGTTTCATGCTCCCGGGTGGCCATCCAGCCTAGGGGCCTGGGAACCTCAGGCCTGAGGTGCAGAGGGAGCAAAGTCACAGCTGTGAGAGGACAGGGTTCTGAAGCCAACAAGGAGGACAGTGGGAGGGGGTGTGCAGGGCTCGGCTGCGTTTGACTCAGGCTGAGCTTTAGGGAGGGGGCGGGGGAGACAGGTCAGGAGGCGTTTGGGACACTTAGAACCTTGCCTTACGGGAGACGGACTTCTCAGCCAGTGCCAGAGCCCTAGACCCTTGTCCTGGCTGCCCATGGCCACGGGCAGGTCGCTCTGGATCTCTGGACCTCACTTTTGTTTTCTGTAAATGAGGGGTTTGCGCAAGACGGTTGCTGCGGCCCGTACGCCTTTCTGGTTATAGGGGTGAGAGGCAGGCACAGCAGCAGGAGTTCCAGATGGAGAAGTGTGATTGGGGGGCTCCCCGTGAGCGTGTCCCTTTCCCTAGGGCCCGCCGACCACCGCCAGGGCGGCTGCGCTGAGGAGGCCCTCCTGCTGCCTCTCTACCGCGGGGGAGGGCCCGCGGCAGGATGGCCGCACCACAGCCGCAGCAGACGGCGCGGCGGCACTGGCCGGGAGCGCGCTCCGCCTGCGCCTCTGTCAGATTTTCCTGGTTCGCGGAGAGGGACACCGTGGCCCGGGGAGGGAGGAGCCAGGCCCAGGTGGCCCGGGTCTCACATGGGCTGCTCCACTGTCTCTCTAGCATACGTGTGTCCAGCATGATCACAGCAGCCGCATGTAGCTAGTAAAATTTAGATTTAAATTAGTTAATATTAAGTAAAGTGAACATTTTAGTTAGTAGCCACACGTGGCTAGTGGCTACTGTCAGCACAGAACATAGAACATTTTCATCACGACAGAAAGTTGTGTTGGGTGCACTGTGCCTGATGATAAAGGAAGAGTGTGTTAGGGCGGGAGTGCACTGTGCACACCCATATGCGTGTGCGCGCCCACGCATGCACTGTGCCCCCCAGGGAGACCCGGAGGGCCACACCCGGTTCCCCGTGCCCTTCCCATCCTGCTCCGCCCTGAAGCTGGTGGCCGTTCAGGGAGGCTTCCCTCTCCTGGCCCCCTTCCCAGAGGGCAGGCGCAGCCCACCGCCCCTCACAGCCAGGTTGCCGTTGCCCCCTTGGTGCGGCACTAGTCCTGGGAGGACAGAGTTGGGGGGCCCTAACAAACGATTCTTTGGGGGGACAAAGTGGACCCCATGCTAAGGCCCCATCTCATCTGAGAGCCTGCCCTCGGAGCCCCTTGGGCCAACCCAGGACACGTCGGTGGAACTCTGTCTCAGGGGCCAGCACCCTTGCGTCTGCCCTAGACAGACAGAGGTGCGGGAGCGACCACTGAGGCTGGCCGAATGAGCGGGGGCGCCCCCGGGGCCCCGCCCCATAAGCAGAGCTTTGGGGATGGAGATGGGGTTGTTGAAGGGCACGGAATGGGCTTGGAGTGACTGTGCCCGGGTCCCATCTGTTTACTGTTGTCATCAGCTCCCCACAGCTTAAAACAGTCACGTGAGAGGGGACAGGAATCCAGCGGTAAAATGCCAAGACAGAGGCTCCGTGACCTGTGGGACTCGGCTGTGTTCTTTCCCGGCCATCAAGCTCCCCCATCCCACTTAAGCCCCTGAGGCCACCTGCTTGCAGAGAGGGTCAGGGCGTGAAGTGGCCCTGGGCCAGGAGGGGGGTGGCCCAGTGGCTGCGCCAGCCATCCACGTGCCTCCCAGAGGAGCCTCTTAAGAGTGGGGGCCCTGCCCGTCGGTCCCAGCCCCTGCCCAGGCAGCCTGGGGCTCCCTGTGACTTCCCAGTCAAGACCTCGTGAAGTGGTGTCTCCCTGGAGAACCAGACCCGACCCCTCCTGGTGCCTGGGCGGCAGGGCCAGGGCCCCCATGAGGGAAGCTCCGCAGTGTTCTGACGCCTGTCCCTTGCTTTGTGCCAGCAAGGCACATTCCTAGTAGACGTGGTCGCGAAGCCTGGGGTGCAGAGGGGCGGCCAGAGGAGGGCGCACCCCGCCCTCTGTCCCGTCCCAGCCCGCATCATGCGGACCCCTGTGCCCTGGGATCCCGTGAGTCAGGGACATCGGCACCGCTGTCGCGTCACCACCAACCCGTCCTGATGTTTTCTCTCTGTGGGCTTTCTTTTCCATGTCCTCACTGTGTGCCCACTCCCCCCACTTCGTGCCTCCAGTCTTTCCTGTGATGTGTGTGCATCCTGCGCCCCTCCCCGCCCCTCTCTGACTCCGTCCTAGTGGGACAGTTCGAGATAGGCAGCCGACAGGAACACAAGGACCCCCAGGTCCCGGAGAGCGGCTGAGGCTCTTTATCCCATGTGTGTTCACTCACAACCCGTGCATCCCTTTCAGGAAAGTACAACCTAACCTTCACCAAGGCCCCTCCTTTTCACCCCGATTGGCTCTTTCTACGAATCCCATCTCATCTGCTTGTGCGTCCAGCGTCCCTCTCGGCGGAGCCCCCTAGGACCTGCACGGCCTTCCTGGGGCGCACAGTGGGTGTTAAGCAACACCTGCCTCTCCCCACATTTAGATTCTATGAAAATAAATGCGATGCTGATAGAGAGGGCTAGATGCCTTTGGGTAATTTCTGGAGTGGGGAGCAGTTCTTCCCTAGGAAGACTGAGCGATGACAGCCAACCTCTGAGGGAACGGCTCCTCCACCCAGGCCCGGTTGGGCCCACCTGCCCCCGCCCCGGCCCGGCCCTCGGGGATCGGTCTGTGGGCTCCTAGTATTAGGGTCCCGATCCGTGGTTCCCGTTTCCTGTTTTTCCACCTCGACTCTCAGTTTAACCTGTTGACTTCTGTTCTTATTTCACTTTGCAGACTATTTGCCGATTTCACAAGACATAATTTTTATCAACTAGCTCTTAAGAGAGGCATAAGCTGGGGTTTGCTACCAATGCTGGAGAGGGGACACAGTCCCGGCCGGGGCCGCCCCAGCTGCTGTCCGGGCCCACTGGACCCGTCCTAACCACCTGTTTGCACGAACGTTCTTTTGTTCATTTTTAATTTGTGGGAAAGACTCATGTCCTCATTGCTTCACAGAGATTTTTAAACATTTTATTCTCCAGTCCCTTCCCCTTGTTGCTTCCCATACGCACTGTGAACACACTCCCCACCTGCCTCCCCGCGCCCCCCCAGAACGTGGCAGGGCTGAGGGAGACTTCTCACAAGCTGTGTAGAGCCTCCTCAGCGAATGCCGGCAGAAGGCACCAGATTATTGTAAATAATGACCAAACAGGCTCATCGGCACACCTCATGGGGTGAACTGTGACATGCTGGTGGGCCGCAGGGGTTGGGGACAGGTGACTTGAGCACCTGTGTCCTGTGGCGGACAGCACTTTAAGTGAACTCACGCACACACACAGTGCGGTAAATACCAGTGTGAAAAACCTGACCTGGAAGAAAAGCTGTATCAAGGTGCTCTGCTTGTCCTTGCCCTGGGGGCCAGTCCCTCAGTGGCTGTTGCCGCAACAATAAGCAAACCTGTCTCCCAGAAGGCACAGTGGAGTCACCAGGCGCTGCCCCATCTCAGGCACTGTGGGCGCCGATCCCCACCGGGCCCCTCGTTCCCTGCACCCCCACCCCTGGCCCGTGCTGGCCTGGCCTTCCCTGCTGGCTGGCACCAAGGGGCTCTTGGCCGACCGGGGAAGGTGGGGACAAAACTCAGAGGGTCGGCACTGCTGAGGGTCACCTGGAGAAGGGCTCTCTTTTCCCACGATCCCGACCCCCTCAGGCCCCATTTGAAGAGCCCCTGTGCTCCTGGATTAGTGAAGCACAGCTCGGTTGGACCCTGCCCCCTCCCGCGCCCCCCAGCCCCCCAGCCCCCCACTCCGGTTAACCCTCATAGTTTGTGAGAAGTGACCCATGTGCTTCCATTGGGTGCATTTGACGTGAGCAAATCCACGCCTGAATGTCAGCGTCCTTGAGACCCTGCCTGTGTGGTTTTGCGCATCTCATTAAAGATGCTTGATGTAATAATTGGTGAGTTTTCTTTTCCCACACCCTTTTTCATGAGTGCAATTTTTTTTTTTAATCTGTATGGCTTTTTTTTCCCCCTCTTTATTTTGTTCTGCTATGGATTGCTTTGCTTTGGTGAACTTGTCTTAGGATGCTTGCCTCCCAAACATTTTAGCCATTGTGAATTTTCTTCATCTCTGTAAATAGCTCATCTGTGCTTCTCCCTAACGAC